GCGCTACTTTACACTGCTCAAAACTCGCGTTTGAATCGTCAGTGGCAAATTTTTTTTATGAAAACGTACTTACAGTCTTTGAGTCAGAACAGCCGGCATTGTAGTCTACTCTCCCAGGATCAGGAAATGGTCCTCCATAAAATGTGCTGCACATATCTGAATATTTGGGTTGAAGTGTTCTGGAACAGTGTTGTAAATCCTAATAAATGGATTTTGGAATGGTCTTTAGTGAGCAGAGGCCGGGGGCTAGAGTGAGGAACGGCCGGCGGGCTGAGTGAACAGAGGCGGTGGGCTTGATAATTCGCGCCATGTAAACATAAAACCATGTCTGCATTTGTGATCGAAGAAATGACAAACAACAAGCCCTACTCTACACTGCCCAAAAAACTCACTTTAAATATAAAAATTATAAAATATAAAAACTATATTATATATTATATATCAAATATAAAAAACGTACTTACAGTCTGTGTGTCAGAACAGAACATTGTAGTCTACTCTACCAGGATCAGGAAATGGTCCTCCATAAAATGTGCTGCACATATCTGAATATTTGGGTTGAAGTGTTCTGGAACAGTTAACTTTTATAAAGAATATCTCTTTGGATTTGAGACTTTAGTCTTTGCAACTTTACAGATCTTTTTTATGCACCAAGAGCTTGTAACACTCTAAAGAGAAAGGAAAAATTGAAATCGCATCATTGAGATCGCATCATATGACCCCTTTAAGACTCCTCGGCAAGTTCATGCTAATCCTTGCATGGGATAGAGAGCATGACGAGCACATACCTATTCATTTAAGAAAATTATTAAACATTTGACTGAACTGTTTATTATTTTGACAAACCTCCATTTTAAATTATTTCCCCTCAGGTGTTTATCCACAAAATCTTTTTCATCACAACGACATTAAACATTAATGAATGTTCATATATCAGTTACTATTGCCATCTTCTTTGACTCAAATAAAGCAACATCTCTGGTGTACGTAAGCATCTACAATGTGTGCACGTGCTAAACATCTTTGTTTCTTCACTTCTGTCATATTTGTTAGATGTAATGCAAACACATTTGAGAACTATGATGTTCCACACTTTTGTAAAGGTTATAGAAAAAAATCAAACATTATCTTTACATAGGAATTATCTTTGCACAAAACAAATTGACTAAACATAATTGAATTACGAAATGCAGAAGTGTGTACAGCATTTGGCAAAAGAGAATTTTAGCTATAATGAGCACATGAGACAGAAATCCTTTCTTCAGTTCTATTGTGAATGTGTGAATTGTAAATACTATTTTTCCACCAGAGATAATAGATGAGTCTGTTTACATTTAGTTTTTGCATAGTTTTCAGGGGTTGAGTTCTTTCTGATTGTGGTCAAACATGCAGTGCATGTTCATAGGAACTTATGAACAACTACAGCATAAAAATAATGCCACTACATCTAGACCTCTTGTTCATATAGCTGATGACGATGTTCACATTTTATTTGTCGTACTTGTTTCTTTCAACATGTCTGCTTGACATAGGCCTATGTGTGCTCCCCTTCGGTCATAAGTATCTACCGTGTGCTAAGATTTTTCTGTTTTGTCCACTTTTGGCAGATTTGCTAGAGGGACCATGTCACATTGTTGTAATGTGATTATGGTTAAGAAGCATAACATTAC